AGATGAACAAAACAACAGGAGTCTCCTCCTCAGCTCAGATCAACCCCATGATGCAGGTATCTGGCTGGAACAGGTGAGCATCACAGTAAACCAGTGCAGCAAACTGAGCTTTAAATATTTAGGTTTTAAGCTCTTTTTCTGCTCCAAAACATGAAAGTTAACAGGTGAGATGTTGCATTTTCATTTAAGATAAAATGATATTTTTATTTTGTTGTTGGCCCGTGAGAAAAGATTTAACCTACAGTAAACAGGAAGTGGAAAGGCTGCAGATAGATGAATAGAATAGAAAATCCCTTTATTGTTCCTCAGTGGGGAAAGCTAGATGTCACAGCAGCGATGACGCGTATTACAGGAGAAAAAAAGGAGAATGAAAAATAAGAAAAATGAATAAACAAGAAAGCATAACTCCTGAATAGATTTTAAAAATGCTGAATATACCACAAGTAATGAATACCACTGATGCCTTTTATTTAAAACTGACTTGCTCGTGTGTAATTTGGTTATTCCACATTCAGTGTTAATGCAGAAATAAGTTTGTTTCCAAATTTAAAGGTTCAAAATTGCATATATGTTGATAAAGAAAATGTGCAAATTTGCCGTCACTTTTTCAAAAAATATTAAGTTTGGCCCTCGACTCCATCCCAGATTTTCATTTCGGCCCCGTGTGAGTTTGAGTTTGACACCCCTGAGTTAAAGAGAGCAAAATGCCACGGTTGACTCCTTTTTCACTTCACACATACATTTTGCTGTTTTGAGTTGTTAACTAAAAAAGTTACATGCAATATTTTAAGAGCTTCTAATTCACAGTTAGCATTGATAGCTCAAGGTTGCTTGCTTCACCTAATATTAGAGTAAAACAAAAGGATGACGTGGCTTCTTAGGGGTACAGGAAATAACTTCTGGGCTGCTCCTGTTTACTGGCTTAGGTTCTTTAAATACCTATGAGGCTTTTTGCTTGCCGGTGGCAAATGACAAATGCCGGCGTTGCAGTGTTTATACTCGGCACAGACCTGGCAACCTCTCAAACTCACCGATTGTAATCAGTGACTACGTCTCTCTCTCTTTTTTTTTTTTGAAAGGAGAAAAACGGACAAGCCTCAGCTGGCTGAGAATTAAATCTGTTTCAATATAACCTTCGTTTCAACACTATAGACATTAGACTGCATTGTTTCACTGTAGAAATCCTAAATAATAACCTTTATTACTTGACACCTTTAGTTGCACACAAATAATTCCATGCACAATGTAGCTGTGCAAGCTGCACTGCTACATTGTGCATTGTTTTATTTGTGTGGGAGAAGGTAAAGGGTGGGAGAAAGATGTAGTAATTAAAGCCTGGGACTCACCATGCCAACTGCATTTGATCTTGGTTATCCTATTGAACAGAAATAAATAATTTCCTTCACTTTGGCCCTTTCTTTAGTATTTTTTGGGGGATTTCATGCTCCAACTATCAGACTAAGTACGTTGGTGTTATGTACCATTCTCTCAGTTAAGGTTTTAACGGTTAAATAAGATATACCGAGTCAACATTGAGCCCACATTGCTCTGCTAGCAGTAACAAGTGTAAAAGCTGCACTGTAATATGAGCAAATGGTGATCCCTGAGAGCTGGCAGGGAAATTTAGACTGGCGAACAGAAATAAAAAGAAATGCCAGAGCTTGACTGTGATACAGAGCAGAGTGAGAATGAATTGCTTGGGTTATGGGATTGGCCTAGGTGTAGTTTTGTTTGTCCTTTTTTTTTTGATATTTTAAATGTGGCTTGCCTGTTTGACCCTCTGATTTCCTTGTGCTGACCTCAGCCGCCCTGGTCCTGCGCCAAACGGCTGTTATTGCTACTCGTTTACAGTCATGGCTAAAGGTTTGAGAATGGAACAAGTATTGGATCTCAAAATGTTTGCAGCTTCAGTGTTGCCAAATACGTTCAATAAGTTTCTGTGGCATGCTGAAGAACAAGGACAAACATTTCATCACTTCTGAAGGCATTGATTGTATTCAAGGAGTAAAATGTTTGCAGTGTCTGCACTGTCTTCTACACAACTCCAATTTGAGAAAACTCATTCCTAATCACTGCTTGGGACTTTTCAGAATTTTTGGAATTTTGCCATATGGGGATTAAAGGACTGGATTACTTGTTTAATCAACACATTTGTAGTGATCTCTTGTAGGAATGAAAGCCTTGTAAGTCATACTCCAAGGAAGAAATGTACCGGTACACAATTTCTCTCACTTAAGAGTTGCCCACATCACAGCTGAGCTTCAGACGGTAGGTTTTGGAGTCTTATTTCCTGATATTTGGACATCTCGCCCCAGATTGGATAACAGCAACTCGACTCTACCACTGACTTTGTGTTTTATGTCCACAAATAACAGAAGCCTGGAGGAGGTTCTGTCGTGTGCTGGTGTTGCTAATGCTAATGGTTAGCTTAAACTAGCAGTGATGTCCTCTGCTTATTCCCAGACATAAAGAAACAGCCTTCCCCGTTATGAAGATTGGTGAGTCCATGAATGCCAATTCACAGTATGAAATAGATCTGTGAGAATTTTCATATGCTGGATGTTCACCATCTATTTTCGATCAGAAGCTTATGCAGGAGACTATTTTCATTGTTCAGTTTGCATGAAAAACTCAAAGTGACACATTATAATAAATAGAATAATACATAAAAAATGCTTTTTTCAGTCAACCACACCTTTAACCCCATATTCCCAAGGGCATTATTGGTGTTTTCAGACCATGGACATAAAACTTGTGTCAGGAGCTAGGTTTAGGGTCCTGTGCTACATCATGCTGGAAAAGACATTGTTTTAAATCACCAAATTGTTCTTAGGTCAGTTGGGGGAGTTCCTCACAGAGGATGTTTAGGTACCATTCTCTATTGTTGGATGTGTCAGAAGCTAAGTTGCGAATACATCCACTCCTTTAGCTGAAAAGCAAACCTACAAATGATTGACATTAGGATGCTTTACCGTCAGCAAGACACTAGACCAGGGATTCCCAAAGTGTGGTGCGCGCACCCCCGGGGGTGCGTGAGCTGCCACTAGGGGGTGCGCGAGGGAAAAAGTGTAATGGCTGCGGAGCTCAGAGAAGTCTGTCATATGTCACCATTAGCGTAGCCAGAAACTCATTTGTGGGTGGGCCAAAGAAAAAGTAAGTGGGCCCAATAAATGTAATTGAAAACAAGTATATTTTTGCGCGCGTGCGTGTGTCCTCCGCATGTGCCCTAGCTTCATAATAACAATGCGTCGAGCTTCAGCAGTCTGGCCTGCGCACGCCGATATGTTGCGTATTTGATCATTATTAACGGTGTTGGAGGAATCTGAAGGTGGTGAGTCATTCTGGCAGATTGTAATTAACACCTGTCTCATGCAGGTGTTCTGACATTGTAAACCTCACACACAGAACATTGTGGATGTAACAAAATAAATCAAGAAATGATTCCCATTCAGGCTATTAACAGCGCGCTAAAGATCTGAAGTTCAGAGTGCGTCTGTCAGAGGTCAGACGCGGAACCACGGCTCACGGGTGCACAAGTGAGCACATCTGGGCTGGGCAGAAGTAATTTTACAACATTGGTTTAAATAGCGCCAATAACGAGACGCGGTGACTGGAGCGGCTCATGGAGCTGTGCCGCGTGCGCGCGCACACACACACACACACACACACACACACACACACACACACACACACACACACACACACACACACACACACACACACACACACACAGATTCAATAAGCGCGCACGCTGCGCAAACTCCGGCGCGCCGTCAGACTGAAGACAGAAATGAGCGCTGCCTCCTCCGTGATAAAAAACTTTTAAGAGGTTTTATAACAACATTTTTCATTCCAGGTAAAATTAAGATATTAGCTTCTATTTTGGGATGACGTATTAAAGTCGGGTCCGCTCCACCCAGTGACTCCGAACCTCTCTACAACTGTTACTGCAGCATTTGTTATTCCAGTCCGCGTGGCAGCGGATCGCAGATTCAGCCACACCATAAAACAGCAATAAGTTGGTCTGAGGCAAAAGTGAACCTCATGTCTATAGCTTTTCCATCTTTTCCCCTATAGACATTTGATTACGCACAAGTAGGTGGCCAGTTCAGGTTTAGCAAGAGCAGAAGGAAGGAGAGCGCTCTGGCCGCACAGGTTAAACATTCCTACTTTAAAAAAAAACGTTAAATTGCATTTTTTATGTGCTACCTGGGCACTCTAAATATTTATTTAAAATTAAATCAAAGGAAATTGTAATGGTATTGAATCTTATTAATTGTTATTTAAAAAATGAAAGTGATGGGGAAAAAGGTTGATCATATTTTTTTTAACCCTGTCTGTTTAGCTTTATATATATATATATATATATATATATATATATATATATATATATAGCCATGCCCTGATGTGGGGGCTGGGGGGGTGCGTCGTCATGGTCGGGACATAGAAGGGGGTGCGCGGCTAAATAAGTTTGGGAACCACTGCACTAGACTAATGGGAGCACTCACCTTTACAGGCAGATATTTATTTATTTATTTAAAAACTATGTTGGTCTGTTCTTCAGTTCTGCCTATGGTCATGCACGCTAGGTTTTCTGCTATTGGGTCTGTTGGGTTTAGGTTTTGTTTTTATGGGAAATAAAAAATAATCTCTGGTTTTTAATTAGCAAAGTCCTACTTATAGGTCTATATAGATCACACATTTGATAATAAAATTCATTTACAGAGTGTCAGTTCAGTGAACGTCTCAGATGATAATGAGCTATCTCCCGGGAACATCACCAAGATATCTGACTTTTAAATAGTCTTAACAGGTGTAGCTTACATCAGTGTGACGTCTGTGAAATGTACACCATGTTGAAAGGCAAACAGTATGAACATTTGGCCACTCTGCAGCAGATCTTGCATTTGATCGCCCACTTAACTACCATCGTACTGCATGGCCGTGGCACTCTGCAGCCTTCCTTTGGGACAGTGTTCAGTTTGGGTTTAGAGGCTGACCTGTGCTCTCCGTGGCATCCAGACTGTCTGCTAGCTGCTCCAGGAGGCGCGCCCTGGCTGCGTTCCTGCGGTGTTTCTTCCCTTCGTAGTGCTGCTGGGCCATCAGAGGGTTGTTGAACCACGCTCCACACAGGCAGCAATACTTTCCAGCCTCTCTGCCCCCATTTCCACCAATCTCTGCCGTGGGCCAGGGTATCGCAGGGGGAGGTGGTGGGCACGCGGTGGGGTCTGTGGTCAGTGGGGTGGAAGGTGAAGAATCTGAAGGATGTGGTGAAATGTTAAGTTTAAAAAGCACACAGATCACCAAAGAAAACTAAGAGAAAATAGATTTAAACACCAACGTTATGTATAATTTAAACATTTAAGGATAAAGATTTGAAAATATGATGCATTAACAGAGATATTTACGCTCACAGTCTGATAAAATACGATTCTGTGCTTTTAAACCAGGCGATGTCCAGGTTATGCTCATCGAGTCTGCCTACCAACAGATCACAGCATGCTATGTCTTTAGAAAACAGATGAGAGGTCCTTTGCACCCCAGGATCCAGTCTGCCAGAGCTGGCTTCCTGCTCACATCACTACACTACTGAACCTTCGCATTTCATCCTTTTTTTTCAACATCCCTTCTCCTCTCCTCCAAGGGAATGGAAAAAAAAGGGGGATGGCCGACTTCCAGGTGACCTGCTACTCATGACATGACACTGGTTACCATGGTGATTGCCCATTAATAGCAAACGGGCGCTGATGTGTCCACGGGACGTGGTGAAGCTCTGGCAGAAAAGACTGTCTCTCTGTGTGTGTAAGAGTGTGTATGTGGGTGTTTGGGTGGCGGGCTGAATGTGTGGTCCCATGAGAAAATGTGTGTGCAAGGATGGAGTCCCAGAACAGGCTGCTCACACGCGTGAAGTACAACACGTGTCCTAAAAAACACACCAATCATCCAGGGAGAAGGGGGGTTCTGTCCACAACCAGATCGTGAGAGAAAGGATCTGATGCCAGATGGTAGGTCCAATTGTGCCAGTTCACCCTCCACGATGGCGCTACAGTCTGTGACTATACGGCCGCACGTTTAGACGTTTTATATCACAAACACTAACCCACTCAGTCAGGCCTTTAAAGAGAATGAGTCACATCACTTATTAACAACCACCACCAGCTCACGACTAGCAGGCACGTTGCGTAGCATGAATTTTTGACCAGTGACCAAAAGTGGAGAGGGTTTTGTGAGCTTGTGTATCTCCAGTATGTGGGCCTGTGTTGACCTAAGTCCTTTCCTGTAAGCTGATTGGCTGTCTTCACCTTGATATGTTCACATAGTTACTGTATCTATGGCTGTGTCTCTGCTCATCGCACCAACCACACCCACTCATATTTTCTATTTTGTCGTTGCACTTTATCTTCATGGTTACAAAAGTCGACCCTGTGGCTGCGCAACGCTCATGTCCTTAATTTTTCTCCCCTTCTTTTATTAACCTCAAAGACAAGATGCTCGTAAAACTTGTGGTTGACGTGTGTGTGTGTGTGTGTGTGTGTGTGTGTGTGACCATGCATGATTGACGCTCCTCAGCTCTGACAGGAAGAAATCCTCTAAAGCATTACTATTCTCTATTCCTTGTTTTCTCACTACTCCTCTCCTCCTGACTGTGATCTCTGTACACTGGAGCAGAAGTAAGTGTTCTTCATGGAGAGGGGCACAGGGATTGTCTCTGTGTGTGTGTGTGTGTGTAGAAGGAGGAAGTGCTTATTTCAAGTTTGTGTCAGGTTTGGCGCAGGGGACAAAGCCAAAGCTTTGCTCTTTACCTTTAGCGTCCATGTTTCTTGAGAACGCAGCTGAATACATTCATTGGCATATTTTTGATCATTTTAGTTCCATGTGTGTGTGTGTGTGTGTGTGTGTGTGTTTAGCTGCCCATGTGCGACCAGGCCTGTCAACTTGGCTGTGTATCTTTGGTGAAGCGCTGATCTCAGAGAACTCACAGTGGCTAGCTTTGACTGTAATCTCTCCTGAAATCTCCCAGGTCATTCTTCCTCTCTTCTTGTGCTCATTCTCTTGCATCTTTTTTTCTCCACCAGGTCCCACTGTCATAAAAAAACACTGGAACTCCATAGCAACAACAGTGCAGAAGTGGCGGTTTTTCAAATTAGGCCAAAGTTGAGCAAGGGTTTGATTAGAACATTTCATTTTTAAGCACCAGTGAGCTTGGAGGACTGTGAGTTTACTCTTTCAATCCAATTTGTAGTACTTTATGAAAAAGCTTCCTTGGAGACCAGGAAGCCACGTTTGTGAAACACTACTCAAACAGCCACAAGCATGACGGGAAACAACAAACCCAAGAGCTGAGGAGAACTATTTGTAAACCTGTGAGATGAATCAGATTTAAAGGCGTGGAACACTCATTTAATCAATACATTTGCTGTGGTCTATAGTAGGAATGAATGCCTTGTAAGTTGTACTCTGAGGAAACAAAGCTCTGGTGCACCATTTTCAGGAACTATAAATAAGCCACATAACAGCTGAGCTTCAGACGGCAGGATTTAGATTCTTATTTCCTGATATTTGGACATCTTGCCTGTGATTGGTTAACAGCAATGTGACTTTACCAATGACTCTGTGTACAATGTTGATGTTTTATCCCCACAAATAACACAAGCCTAAAGGAGTCCTGCTGTGTGGTGGAGTTGCTAATGCTAACAGTTAGCTTCTACTAGTCAGGGCGTTCTTTGCTGTTTCCTAGACGCTAAATCAACAACAGCCTTCCCCGTCGTGAGTCAAGATGAGTGAGTCCATGAATGTTAACTAATTCGCTGCCAGCCGTTTCCTGATCTTTAAAGCCCTTCGCTGCCAACGTTTCTCACCATTTTTACTGTTTTTTTTAAGAGTCACAGAACGTTGTGCGCTAGGATGATGTTGACGCCAAAACAACCAAAACAAAGAGGAGACTAACCTCTTACATCAGGAGGAATCCACACATTTCGAGCGTTATCCGTTCTTTCATAATCCGTTGTTGAATTGTGATCGGCAGAAGCGTTTCGCGCCTCACTTCTTTTACAGCAGCGGCCCAAAACAATCTCCTAACACATGGATTTTCTGCTTCCTGATCACGTGACGTACGCAGATGAAGATCAGCTTTAAAGCTGGGATGTTTGTTCTCATGGTGCGGGGGCTCTATCCGACGCCCACACAGTAAAAACATGCTAGTGGCGACTTTAGTCGTCAATGGCAGTGAATGAGTTAAGTGACAGTGTGACGTGGATCTCAGATTTTTCAGATCCTTTTCTATCAGAAGCTAATGCAGGAGATAGGTGTAGGAGACTATGTTAATCAGTCAGTCGGCGCAAGAGCTCCCGACGAGCTCGTGATGGAGACATGCACCAATTTTTAGCAATCCATCAAAAGAGACAGAAACTGCAAGTCTGTGATTGGTCAGGATGCTACTTCCAGTAAATTCATCAACAGCGCCGCCTTTGCACCCTCAAACATGAAAAAGATAGCGACAGAGGCAGAACAGATTGAAGAATGCGTCGAGGAAAAAGTCTGAAACTTGGAACGTTTATTCATCCATGACTGAAGGAGTACAAACATGTGCAGCAAGGATTTTATTTGTGGACGGAAAAGACAAGGAAACATAGATTTAGAGGTGATGATAGCATGAAGATGTGGTATCCTGTCATGTATCGGTCCAAGATAGTGTGTTTATATTGTGTTTTTCGTATATAAGAGACTTAACACAGACAAATTTGTCTCTCACTCTCCTCCACCGCTTCATGCGCTCGCCACCTCTAAACCCATGTTTCCTGTCATTTCCGTCCACAAATAAAACGCTTGCTGCGCATCTTTTCACTCCTCCAGTCATGGGAGAATTAAACATTCATGTTTTTAGAGTTTTTTCTCGAGGTATTCTTCAAGCTTCTCCGTGTCTGCCGCTAGTTATCCTCGGCTCTCTTTATGTTTTTGAGGGTGCAATGGCGGTGCTGTAAACAACAGCGGCGTCCTGACCGATCACAAGCTTGCGTTGTCCGTCTCCACTGACAGATGTTTAGAAAAGAGAGCTGGACTCCGTCCGTCCCTGCAGAGCTCTCCGGCAGCTCCGCAGGGACGTTGCGTGTCTACGCACTGACGCAGACGGAGAAGCATGAATCAGGCTTTATTCCTTTCTACATAATGTAGAAACCACATGTAAGGAATAAATAACTTAAACAAACAGCATTTACATGTTTTTCAGTGTACTTGATGATCTAGCTGCAGATTTCTGCAACTCTAAATATCAGCCCAAAGCCTAGTATTCTCATCGATAATAATAAGGAAGTTCTCACAGAACCAAATACTGAACCAGACTAGCATTCGTTGCTTTATTTAGTTCAACATTCTGACTCAAATCCAACTCATGCACATTTTAAATCAGATGCAAACAAATATGACACTAAAAGCAAATAAGAAACAGCCTGAAGGCAAAAACCAAACCCAGATCTGGTAAATCTGCTGCACAGTTGTGCATCAAAACAAAGTTTATGCTCCACCACACCAGTAACACACACACACACACACACACACACACACACACACACACACACACACACACACACAATCACCCACCAACATCAAAACCAGAGAAAGCCTGTGGCCAGGCCCACGCAGCACCATGACCGGACCAGAATCTAACACCAAAGGTACCTAATATCACACATTAAACTCCAAAGACACGTATGTTACCTTAGATGTACATCCTGAGTTTATACTCTTTGCTTAGATTCTAATTAAATCCTTCTCTCTGATTGCTGAGAGCTGATTCAAAAATTTCGTTTTAGTTCTGGTTACTCTACTTCAGGCTGCATTTCTGGGAAATTATTGGAACTGTACAAAAATCGATTTTCAAGAAAGTAAGAAAGCCTTGTTTTCTGCCATTTCATCTTATTTTTATCAAAACGGAAAACATCGTCTTAACCAGTAAGTTTTGCTCATGAAAATTAAACTCCTTCTAGGAACACACTGTAAAAACAGATTTGTAAGAATGTAAAAAGAGCCCCATTGTTAGACATCGCTAGAATACTATTTTTAAATAGAGAAAAAGATCTCATGTGAAGTGCTAAACATTAGTGAAAAAAACATTTTGCTTAGTATTTTGAAAATGGTATGTCACTCTGACTTTAACATGCAGGCTGAACACGAAAATAGTCTCCTACACCAATCTCCTGCATTAGCTTGTGATTGAAATAAGACGGTGAAACTCTAGGATTTGAAAAACCTACATCTCACTGTCACTTAACATTCATGGACTCACCCATCTTGGCTCACGAAGGGGAAGGCTGTTGTTGGTTTAGCATCCAGGAAACATCAGAGAGCGTCTCGGCTGGTAGAAGCTACCCGTTAGCATTAGCAACTCCACCACACCGCAGGACTCGTTCAGAATTGTGTTATTTATGGAGATAAGGCATCAATGTTGCAGCGCATATACAGTCAGTGATCAGATGCGAGAAGTCCTGTTGTCTGAAGCTACTGTCTCCTCTGGCTGAATTCTCTGTGCTGAAATAGGCGCACCAGAGCTTTTGTTCCCCCAGAGAACAATTTAGAAAGCATACGTTCCAACTAGAAATCATTGCAAATGTGAAAATATAAGTGAAGAACCTCTAAAATTGACACTTAGTTAACCTAATTACTTTTATATTATTTATCCCCATAATCATGACCTCAAAAACCATAAAAGTGATGAAAGTATACAGTATCTTTTTCAATGATATGGGGATTAAATCTCCAATCTGATCCACTTAGAAGATGTCCACTCAACCTCTGAGCTACAGCAACGCCTTGTTTGGTATTTAATTGTAGTAAAATAGTAAGAATGCATTTGTCCATCAGCATTAAATTACTGGCACAAAGTCATGTAGAAAATGTAGTCCATGCATTCATTAATTTATTGTTAGGTTTGTTTATTTAAAAAATCAGCAAAAATTCTAGTTGATCCAAAATATTGCTGCCACAGTTTTAGAACGACACTTTCTTGAGTTTCAGCATCTGTTGAAATAAAAATTGTATTTCACATTGAATGATATTAACGTTCAATATGTTCCCAACTAATCACTTTCATGGTGCTAGATGCTCTAGTTTATATCTGTGAGGCAGACATCCTGTCTACTTTTAAGGCTAGGTTTAGGGCTCTCCTCTATGGTATTTCCTATAGTTAGGTCTAGGTTGGGTTATTCTGACTCACCTCTTTAGTTATGCTGCTGGAGGACTTTCTGACCAGAAGGCAGTCCTATTCAGAGCTTTACTCTGGTTTTACTTGAAGTTTCTTTGCGCTAAAAGCAAGTTTTCCTTTCCACTGTCGCCCGTTGTACTGCACTTGCTCAGTTTGGTTATGGTTTGATGCATCATGTCTGTTTTACAGAGAGTAAATTCTAACAGTTGGTATTTTATAATCAGTCAGATTTGATTACAACTGACTTGGCTGCATTCATCATACTTTCTTCTACAATTTGCTCTTTAACTGTATTATTTCCTGCTATTTCAGCTGTTAACTTAATTTTTCTGTAACTGTTTTTCTCCCCAGAAGAAGCTACAATGGTGTTCCGCTGAGCTGTGGTGGCCTCATGGAGGGGGCCATCGTCTTGAACACTGTTGCTACCCACTTAAACATTCTCCCTCTCCTGATAATAACATTTTACTTCATTTGACATTGAATGTGCTACTACTAGTTTACCCGTTACATTTTGGTGTGTGTGTGTGTGTGTGTGTGTGTGTGTGTGTGGTGTGTGTGTGTGTGTGTGTGGTGTGTGTGGTGTGTGTGTGTGTGTGTGTGTGGTGTGTGTGGTGTGTGTGTGTGTGTGTGTGTGTGTGTGGTGTGTGGTGTGTGTGTGTGTGTGTGTGTGTGTGTGTGTGTGTGTGTGTGTGTGTGTGTGTGTGTGTGTGTGTGTGTGTGTGTGTGTGTGTGTGTGTGTGTGTGTCTGCTCTGTCTTCTCGATCCTCAGTGAGTCATGGTGGATGGCTGCTTATACTGAGCCAGGATCCTCTGGAGGTTTCTTTCTGTTAAAAGGGAGTTTTCCTCTCCACTGTCGCTATATGCTTGCTTAGTATGAAGATTGTTGTATAGTCACTGACACTAATCAGTGACTTGATGCAATTTGCTGGGTTCCTTAAATAGGAAACTTTTTTCTGATTGGCTAAATGAACTGACCTGTATTGGAATGTTTACTGTGTGAAGTGCCTTGAGACGACTCTTGACGTGATTTGGCGCTATATAAATAAACATGAATTGAAATGAATCAGGCTTGAATCTGGATCTGATGTCAGCTGGATTGTCTTTATTGTGCTTTACAAAGACTTTTGTTGGGATTTGATGCAATACAAATAAACTAAATCAAACTAATAGTAAAATGAAAATTGTGCATACTAAGATGAACAGAAAAAATTGTGTCAATATTCTTGGCAGTGTGAGGAAAAATAAACTGGAAACCAGCATCACGTCATTAATGGTCTTTATGATCATGAAGATGGCACCATGTGTCTGTGACAGCATAGGCAAAAAAACAAACAAAAAACTAAATAAAAAACAGATGCAGCAAAAATATAGTGCAGTCCCTACTAAAAAAGTTTTTAAGGGCCAAAGGTTTACTTTTTGGTAATCCAACCACCCAAAGTACTGAGCCAGTAAAACACAGACATGCCTTCAGCAAATCTTTGAGAAAGTTCTGGGCTGAAACTTCATATGGAGCGTCTCAGGAGAAACCTGTAAAAAGCTGTGTGCTGACGTTCCCCATCAACACAAGTGGGACCTGAGTGAATCTGTCAAGAGCTATTGCAGAAACTTTAAACAGAAAGGTTTCCGAGCCTTTGGAATCTTTCCCAAATAGAAATGAGGCTGTCATTCCTTGTGTGTTTCAACCAAAACTAAGTGAAGCATCTAATGTGAATGGATCAGTTGTAAAGCAGAAGTCCGGTTTTCCCCTTTTCTTGAATGATGCATGATTTTTCTTAATCCGTAGAAGTGATGGTCTGACCCTGTAATGTAGTGTTGCAAACCGCGTCCCCGTCATTCAAAGCCCCATGCAAATTAACTTGACCTCGCTCAGCATTAACCAACACGTACAGATATCAATCACAGAGCAGAAAAATCTGACCTGAGCAACGTTTTAAAGCTGTTTACAAGACTCAGCGAATCATGGAGCAGCTGCAATCACCTATAACACCTTTTTTTCCCAAATGGATTAAACTGCCGTACTTTGATAGAGTAAAACTTTTAATGTTACTGCGGACGCTTTTTGGCGCTGATCAATGACATCACTCACTGTTGAAGTAGTCCAGTATGTTGATGTCTTTGAATGGCGACACACCAACTGACAACTGCCGGTAAGTTTCCCTCTCATAGAAATTACCCCGATGTTCCGGCAATGAAAACACACCTTAAGACCGAAAAATAATTTACCGTGGACCTGATTTTCAACGGTCAACGTGAATGTGGAACGGATGCAAAGTGGGCGACATTTACTATGGAAAGGTAAGTATTTTAAAATATATGTGAATAAAAAGCAAAAAAGGAGAATAACTGTTAATGTAATTATAAAGAAACATGTTCACAAATGGGAGGCTTTGCTTCCAGCTGCATCACGGAAGCAGGGAGGAGTTAAAGGTGCAATAAACTTTTTCCGCCTCTAGATGGTGCCCTCTGACAAAATAAACTCCGGACTACTCCAAAAGTAAAAAGAATTGAGGCGTATCTAAAACTGTCTCTTTCTAATGATTTTAATAATTCTGCGGAGACACAGAAGAGATCAGAGGTGAAAGGTGCAGGGTACCTGTGTTTGTAGGGCTGGCTATGGCTGTGGGTTGGTTCGGGGGTTCTCCGAGCACCAGGCGGACTCTCTTGGCGTGAGTTTTGCCCTGATAGTGGGACTGGGCCACAATTGCAGAGGTGAAGAACATATTACACAAGGTGCAGCACTTGTTCCTGTCCACTTCAGTTTCTGCACAGTCCTACATGAGCATGAGAAAGAGAGATGGGAAAGAAAAATCCCTGAATTTCAACGAAGGAGAGGTTGAGGGAGGTGAACGGGAAAAGGGAATGGCAGGGAGGAAAACAGGAGTGATGTGAAAGACCAACAGAGAAAGGTAAAAGCAAGAGAGCTGCGCCCTTTGCACTGAACTCAGTGTTTTTCTCTTCTCTCACAAGTACACACACAAACATGCCGACACACACAAAGGGGAAGAGAGAGAGATGATGATCAAATATTCATCTCTCAGGGCTGAGATTGTAGCTTGGCTCCTTCACGGCTGCTGGTTCATTACTAATGATGAGAGGAAGTTGCTTTCTGCGGGAAAAAACGGGGAATCCAAACGAAAAGACCAACTGCCTGATTGATACAAACTTGAACACACACACACACACACACACACACACACACACACACACACACACACACACACACACACACACACACACACACATTTGTACCAGTTCATAGGATGCTTCAGACTACAGTTTATAAAATAGAAGCTTCCCATAATCACATCATTATGTCCATCCGAATAATGGCTCACATATCAGATAGAGTAATCATTCTAAAACATATTTTATATAGATTTCATTTTTTAAACAAGAGAGCGATGAGTACACAGAGTCATCATATAAAAGGATTTATGTTCTGTCAGAAAAAGTAATATTTGCAGGCAAAATAAATTATTTTATTAGAGCAAATAAAATCTAAAATATGCATTGAATTGAACATTTGAATTACAGGAAAAATAAATCAAAAATTGCACAAATGACTGAATGTAATAGTTGCCTGTTTTTTCATGAGCAACTACACGCCAAACATGTCAAATCCATACTTAAGATGACTTTACACAAAGTTGAGCTGCAGAACTGAATGAATGCGGGGTGGAGACATCAACAGTCACCAGTTAGAGGTCATCTTAAAGCTTAGCTTCATAAAATATGAAGACAATTAAATTTTTTCTGTTATTATTCAAAAGTGACATTTGTTTAAGCGGTGAGGTCTGCAGAAGATTAGAAATACTTAATCAGATAATTTAAAGTCCAAACTTACTGATCAAATAAGACCTGTATTTACTACCCCCCCCCCCCCACACACACACACACACACTTCAAAAATACCAGGTTCCACGTCTCATTTTCTATCTTTTTCATGTTGCACAGCCAATCGTTACCAACACTTACTGTAATCCAGCTAGACACATGGAATAACTCCCTTTTGTTTATTACACTGCTGAACATTTTGTGTTTAAATGTTTCACATCTGACATCCATTAAAATCTGAAACAAGCTTCTTGCCATCTCTGCTTTATTCTTTACTGAAGTTGAAAAATCAGATTTCACGTCTGCAATAAGAAAATCCAGTAACAGTAAAGTGTCATCCGAGTGAGCAGGTGTGTGTGTGTGTGTGTGTGTTTTTCTTATGTCACCCCTGGTTAGCATCATGGACGGTGGATGCGAGAGTTAAGGACACCTTTACCTTCCAGGCTTATAGCTTCAGTTCCCAGTCTCCTCTCTCTTCCTCTCTCCTGTAATTTATTTATTTATTTATTTTTTGCTCTTCCTGCCACGCCACCCCCCAAACCTCCTCGCTCCCCCACTGGGCACCAGTCCATGACTCTTTGTGTTGTGGGATGAAATGTTTATCTGTATTGGCAGGCCCTCGCCACCTCCCGCACCTCCCACACCCCCACCTCTCCGTCCCCTCTCCTTCCTCGCCTCATCTCCTCCCCCGTGTCTCTCCCTGCTGTGAACATGTTAAAAGCTTGCTATGAAATGTCCCATACCTCCACTCTTCAAGCACCATTGGTAACTGATTTTTCCCCCCTCATTTACTATAAATGAGTTTTTCTTTTCTTTTCATGCCTTTATAAAGCTACACTAAAGAGTTTTTAACACTTTGAGCTATTGCTTTCAAACTGGTTTCAGTGGTTGTTGGACAACACTCTGCAGACCAGAACCTGTGCATAACTATTGTGGTTTGTAGAGATGAGACTCATGACTCTTTGAATGGAGCCTTTAATTCGAGAGCTGTCGTTCAAAAGACTGGTTCTTTTTTAATGAAGTGAAGCAATTTCAATGGGAGCAGGGGGCTGGTGGGTTACTTGAAGACAAGATGAACGGCTGTCTACAAGGACTCTTTAAGATTCGATTCGTTCGTGAATTTCACATCACTAACGGTTTGGGTCGGCACTAGTGGGAGTTCTCTGCCTGTTTTATGGCAACCGCTGTTCAGTCTGCCGGTAGCTCAGATAAATATAGCAGTTCACTTTTTCAGACCATCCATAAAAAGAATTGGACGAAAAATGTAGCTTTTTTTAGTTGGCATCATGGTGGAGCCCAATGTCTTTGGAGGTGACGCAAAGCGCTAAAATAAGAGTGAACATCGACGTGGCCTATACTAGTCTGAGGGAGCTAAAGGAGGCTACAAAAACACGGACTGATGGTCAGTGTTGTGCCCGAACGCGTTCATTGATCGGTCGTCCGTGAATTAGTTCATTTTTTTCGTGAACGTGAACTGAACTCGTTTGTATTTTGCCTGACGAACGTAAAAGTGAGTGCGCTCATCCTGGCGTGCGTGAACGAGTTTATGAACGCGTTCTTTTGCCGTTCTAGCTCCAGATCTTCACGGAGCTTTTCTGGAGCTAAAGCCTAGCTAAAACATCCTGTTAACCATAGAGTTTATAAAAAGTAGAACCCACAAAAGTGGCCAAACATAGGCAGTAGCGGTTCGAGCGGCAGCTACTCTTCTACGTCTATGCTGCGTGGAGGAGTCAAAGTTCATTAGAAAAATTGAAAAGGGAATAAACTGAAATTATTTTATTGTTTTGCTATTTTAATATTGCACTTTGAGTTTGCCACCTCAGCCTGGATCCTAAGATTTTCTAATAATTTCCCATTAAAATAACATTTTCCTCATGTTATTGAGAATATATTGTAGGGTAAAAACTGCAGCTGGGTATGAGTGTGGACTTAACGAGTGCCAGCTATTGGACAATTATTTCATTATATACATTTACATATATATATATATATATATATATATATATATGTACATATACATATATATATGTATACATATATATGTATATATATATATATATATATGTATACATATATATATGTATATATATATATATATGTATACATATATATATATATATATATATATATATATATATATATGTGTATATATATATATATATGTATACATATACACATATATGCATACACATATACATGCACACACACACACACACATGTATATATATATATATATATATATATATATATATATATATAAATAAATATATACATATACATATATATATATATATATATATATATGTATGTATGTATACGTATACATATATATATATATATATGTATATATATATATATGTATACATATACACATATATGCATATACATATACACATTTACATACACACACACACACACACACACATATACACACACACACACACACACACACACACACACACACACACACACACACACACACACATATATATACACACACATATATATATACATATACACACACATATATATACATATACACACACACACACACACACACACACACACATATATATATATATATATATATATATATATATATATATATATATATATACATACATATACACACACACACATATATACATATACGCACACATACACACACACACACACACACACACATATATATATATATGTATATGTGTGTGTGTGTGTGTGGGGAAAAAAGAACTATGAACTAGTTCGTTTTTGAAACAATGAACTTAGTTCAAATTTTTTTAAATTATAAACAAAGAAACAAACTAGTTCGTTTTAAAATGTGTGAACTGAACTTTGAACTAGTTTGTTTTTTAAACAAACTTTCCCAACACTGCCAATGGTGACCTGGCTATGTTGCTACTGGACTTCTAAGTAATAATATTTTTTTCGTCCAACAGTGTGGATCTTTTTACTTTGTGGCCCTTTTAGAATCAAATGCCTTGTGTTGGTGTTAGCTAGTTGTTAGCGTTAGCTGCAGCAGGCTGCTGCAAGGTTGTCTACAACAGTTGTAATTTTGTTTTCAACCAATGGGAGGGAAAAGCGGGAAACTTATTAAATGTTATACAACAATACCTTATGCATCTACACAAATGAATTTGATCTTTTTCTATCCGTTTGTTGAGTTATTTGCAAAGAAAAACATCTTTTTCACATTTATATTGCAATATTTATGAATGTGAGATACTGACCTCGTGAGGACCAATCACTCTTCTCTCCCTTTGTCCCTAAACAAAAGCTTTTTCTTGCCTCACCTCTCCTCCGGCTTCCTTTCAGATGAATCCTCCCTGCATCTCTTCTTATCCTTCACAGCTAGACCTCTTCCCTTCATTGTTTTCCTCAGTACTCCCAGAACTAAATGCTAACTAAATACATAAACACTGTGCTGTTTAATTATGTCATGGTGATGTTTAGTTTTCTAACCCACATGCAGAATCAGAGCTGGGAGACAAGGTAAGAAAAAACAATAATGTTTATTAAATAAGGTGATGGTTGGTGGAGCACTCTCCAGGAAGCTCTGATGTTCGGGGTCTGAATCTAACGGGAGAAAACAGGAAGGTGAGGAGGCGGCAGTTGGGAATGTAAATAATGCCAACGGTACAGTCTTACTAGACAGCAGGGTGGTGCAGATGCAGAGGAAAGGGTAGGTCAAGCCTTAGGTAGAAAGGAGCTCAAAAGGGGTCCAAGCTTTGGTGACGAGGAATGAGGATTATGAGGAATCCAAGCCATTAAGCGAGGCAGGCGGGGGGTGAGAGTGGGCCGGCTGGCAGAGCAGATGAGAGGATGAGGAGATGAGATCCGTTGGTTATGGCTGGAGAGATGAGGTGAAGTGATGTCTGCGGTACAAAATAGCAATCACTAGAGGCACAAGGAAAAACACACCTGAAGTTAAAGACTG